TGAAGACAAAATAACACTGAAATCTAAATGGAACAATCGAACTGACAGTGGAAGCCAGCCAAAAAGGAAGGAAAAATTTCATGCATAACTCCAGACATCATCCCCAGATATCAGCATAAATGCTGGTCTAGAGATGATTTTCTTGGCAAGGATTTTCTTTCCTATTTTTTTACAGCTGGAATAATCCTTTTAGTTTCTCATAATTTAATAACTTGCTAGTTAAAAGTAAGGAAAAACATTCTTTAGAGCAAAATTATGCCAAGCAAAGTTCAAAGATTCCACGCCTGTTTTTTAAGCAAAATATTTATTTATGTTTAATTCGCTTATCAATTTAATAATTTTGGACTCGTTAGAACGGTTAGATTAAGTTATTTTTCTTAATAGAAAAATTTATTTCAGCTCATGTATTAATGTCAGGTATTTATATCAATGTTTATCTTTCCTAATGCTTATATGGCCGTAATTTCAGCCTCTAGATCTCAACACGGCTAGATCAGAAAACTTTCGTGCTGGTGTGCGACAATAAAGCGTTATAGGGATACTTCTCATCGTACACAAAATAACAACGTTCACTAGCTTCAAGGTTTCAAGGTTTTACAGCTTTTTGTGCAATATCTCTTTCGAAAAAAAGTTCATTCGTGTTTGCAGGTCGTTCTCGCCGTTTCTTGCAATCTACTCAAGCCAAATATTCCTGCACTCACTTTTACGCTTCATGGTTACTGTCTGTCGCTATGTCATGCAGTTTTATGTCTTTGAAATTACGCAAGTTTCGGCCGCTGCAGGCACATTTCCAGCTCCGTCTTGCAAAAATCTCGTCGTGAAGGTTTTACGGGGCCGCCAACGTAAAAGCGTGGCCCAAAATAATTGACTTAAATGAAAATCACTAAGAAGAATGTTCGCACAGATAGCCGTAAATTCAGGTTTCCTGGGCTCAGATGTTCTTAATTTGATCACAGTTGATGTGAAATTAACCGCAGAATTTGTAACTCGTCCTTAAAGCTAATTTAAAATCCGTTTCCTAAATGAACATAGGTAATTTTTTCTTTTTAAATTAAGAAAGTGTCTTAAGAACGACAAAGTCTGTTTACGACTGATTGTCTACATGAGTAATTGTAAAAGCTGAAGTTTATATTACACATTTTATATTACTTAGTTATCGCCGATGAACACTACTATTAGTAATGTCATTTGACTTGAAAGTTCTTTCATATGATTTTAAATTCATACGATTCTGTCTCGAAATGTGTAGGATTCCATCACACAAGTTACAATTGTCCCTTTGCTTCTATGTTATCAATAGCGCTGAAAAACACTGAAGACATTGTTGATTATGGTTTAAGATCCCTAGTACTCATTATAAGGTAAACCAAAGAGAAGTGATTATTTTTAAATAGATATTTAGAGGGATTATGGACAAATCTATTGTTCCCAGCTTAACTAATATCCCGTCATCATTGTACAACCACAGATATCGAAATAAATTATCTGCATCAATTTTCCATAGCAAAATATAACTTTCGATGTTTTTTATTTGATTTCATCTGATTTACGTTCGCAAAATATTTATGACAATTAAAGTTTTTCCATAAATAAAAACCTCAAAACAAATTCTGGCTCGGTATTTCAGGGTTCTCCATGCAACGTAAGCACGTGCATGAAAATAATTTAGTTACGTTAAACACAGTTGAAGTGGAGAAAATGAAATGTTCAGGTTACTTATGCTCGCTGAGTTTGGGCTGGCTACTTTTTCTCATGATAATTTGCTCAACAGTTATTAAAACTTGAAACCACTAACTCAATTTATTTGTGATTTAATCTAACGTCAGTTACGTTTAACAGGTGATTTTTTTAGATTTTACACTATTTTTCAGCGCGACGTAATGTTCTGATTGGGATTTTTCAGCCTTATTCTGCTTCTTTTCCAGCAGTTTTGTATAATTAAAAAAATTTGAATCTTTCTCAATCTTTCTCGCCGGAATAAATAGTAAGTGAGCCGTTGCAGAGTCACAGGCGCCAGCACGAGCTAGGAGCGTGAGTAACTCTACGGACATAACTCCGAACATTTAATTAACTCCTTGAGGCGAAATGGTCCCATTGACGGCATTGATGAGTTTTTGAAAGGGCTCAACGAAGCTCCGAGCCAAATGTTTCATTTAAATGGCTTGCGAGACACAAATAATTAAATAAAATTAAAGTTTTTTCTATGCTTCTAAGACATTTAATATTTTTAAATATCATTTATTTAGAGGTGGAAGCTGTAGATAGAGCTTTTAAAATATATTTTATATATTGCTAGAATTAAATTGGAAAATGGTTGTGACGCCTATGTGATTAGATTCTTACTTCAAATAATGACAAGATGGATATTAAAACATAAATTTGTCTTTAACGAAATAATTCATAATGAAATGCTAATAAATTTTTTTATTAAAAACCATAAGTGGAATATTGAGGTAGGGGACACTTGATTTACCTCAGAATTCAATGCTCTTAAATTCCTCTACGCAATTGCGTATTGTTAATAACTTTTAGTTATTGGTGGCATATGCATCAGTGTTCTTAAGTTCCTGCAAGACTTTCCTGCTCTTAATTTTCATTATTGAAGAACTGGATAAGAGAAGAGAATATGAAATTTTAACTCGATGCAAAATTAGCAATAATCGGATGGGAATAATTCACAATGTGGAACTTCTTTTTGTATTAATTTGAACCCGTTCATTTGATTTATGAGCGTTAAATGATACACGCCAGTGCACACGGTGGTGAGAAATACGTGCACTCTTCTGGAGATTAATTCCCAGCTTGTTGAGAGCCTTGAGTCATGAACAGGAAGATAGCTGACTTGATAGGTAAGTATATGCAAGGGAAAACCAAAATATTATTCATTTAACGAAAAAAATGATTTTTTTTGCCAGTGATATTGGTCGAAAAAACGCGGATTTAATATGTTTATAAAAACGCGGATTTAATATATGTATTACACGAACTGATCATCGCCAAAAGGTTGGGCAAATCTCCCACACATTTTTTCTTGGCCGAGAGTGTGTGCATAATTTTCTTATTCCGAGAGTATAATAAAAAATTTTTGCAGTCTGGACCGTCTACCATATCTTTATTTGTTTTCGAGTCAAGAGAAATGACAGAAAAAGGTCGTTCAAAGAAAAAAAAAGGTTTTTAGAAAATTAAGAGGTGCAATATGAATCTTCAATTAACGCATAATATTTTCACTGACGTTAGAGCAAGTAATTTTTATCTTGAGTTCAAATCCAATATAAAAATATTGGTGTCATAATCGATTGGTATGGTAAGTAGTAGTTTGGCACGACCCAGTCTTATTCCGTAAATTTATCTATAATTTTTTATTATGGGTGAAACGAGGAAGCAGAAAACGTGTCAGGATTCAAAAATGGGAGGCGAGTAAGTCTATGGCGATTGTGATAACAAACATCAATTTTGGATGAAATTGTTCGAATCATCTTTTGTGATTATAAATTTTCATTAATTTCAACGTTTACTTTAGGTGGGAAGCTACCTATTTAACGGTTCGATCAGATATAAAGGGAACTACAACTTAGCGCGTTAGGTAGCTGCCGAGCCCATAAAGCATTTATGAAAATGAATCACAAGTCCAGAAATTTGTAAAAAGACGCACAATATGTCGAGAATCTCTCAGATTTAGGAGAATACAAATGACTTGTCTTTAAAATTTGTGAACGAGGTGCATTTTCAGTCCAAAAGTACATAAGCGAGTGAACTACTTAGCTTTGATTCGTATTCAATGTGAAGTTGAAGGAATTTTTTAGTAATAAACCTCGAGTCCTTAGTCACGCTCTGTAAAATGTAAGTTTTGAGGAAATTCTCACTGCGGATTAGACCTCCGGGTCCCAATCTGATCAAACAAACTGATTTATTCCGGTTTCACGACATGTATTTCCGATGTTGGTGCTTTAGGGGCTAAATAAATCTGCCGACAACTTTCCTCACCAAAATAAAGATAGAAGAAATTATAACAAAAATTCAATATATCGACAAGATTATGAGGTTCAAGGAGCGCACCTAGACCTTCATAACAAGATCAATTTTTGTTACCGCAATTATTGATTATTAATGAAAATATACACAGGCTATTCAATATTAAATCCAATTTCAATTCCGTTTTATTTATCTTCACGAAAAGCCAGAATATTGTTTCAGAACAATAATGTTCTCCGAAGTGGTGTTGAAATGGACGTTCAAATATCTTAACCTATTACAATTCTGAGCTGAGCACTGGCATCATACGACCTTAATAACATTTACGGCTCGACCTGAACATTAAAATTTGATGAGTTAAGTAACATAATTTTACTAGAGAAAATATATTAAGCATTTTGTGTGCCTGACCGAGGTTTGGGCGGCTCATCTAATATTATACGAGTAGTAATGCTGATATTTCAACAGTAAAACTGAAGCTGGCAGTTGAGGGTCAATATTTGCTAAGTGCCATCAGAAACAACAAATGACAACGTAGTAAAGTTTTATTTTTTTGCCACTGCCTCTTGCTGTTATGCATTGGCATCAACAGAAAAAAAAGAATGCAGCTTTACTCCTACTTCCAGCCCTTAATTTTTAATTCATCAGCCTGTCTTGATGTATGTATGTTAATCATTCATGCTATTCATCTTAAAAGATTTCACATTGACGTTTACTTAACTGAGATTAGCTTCTGAACCTCGTGATTCAGTTTGTTTCACAGCCTAATGTTTTACGCATGCGTTCATGTATGCTTAAATTCTTACTCGTCCGTAATAGCGCCTGTGTTTTCCCGTGTCTACCAGCAATAACATTTGTTGATTTAAATTCCTTATTTCTATAGCGAGGTTAAAGTCGTTTATTCTAATCACTGTTGAAAGTTTGTTTTATTTAAATTTCAAGCAGAATGCTGTAGATATTAATGATTATTAACCGGTGCTGTAACTATTTTTTGTGATAAGTAATATTTAATTAAAAGATGCACCCACCTCGCTGTTCATGTAGCAGAATATGACGGCGACGAGCATGCCGGTGCTGCCCTCTATGATGTGGTTCAGGATGTGGTAGAAATTTGTCCACTTGCATGCGCTGGAGCCCGGGCGGTAGATGGTCAGGAGGAACTGAAGTCCAAACAAGGGCACCACCATCAGCGTCGCTCTGGCCATGGTTCTAAAGGTGCGGGAGCCTTTATTATTGCTAGTTATTTTCACAGCGGTTGAGTGAGTTTACGGCTGAGTAATCAACAACAAATGGGATAATGGCACTAGGATGCATGATCACTAGTATTGCTTTTGCCTGTAATCACATCCAAAAGAACAGATAGCTTAAAGGAAAGAAAATTTGGAGATAGAAACGAATTAATTTCAGACTAAATTTTGTTTCGAAGCCTGACTGACATCAACTAAAATAGATTAAAACGAGTAGAATTTATATTATATTTAATGAATTTATTTACCGTAAAAGGCGATAAAACAGCGAGACTATTCAGAGTTTGAATTAAGCCCACCAGCGTAAGTAGAGCCGTCAAAGTAAAGTCTACTTGAGTATCACGCATGAATTCTGTACTGAGGCGAAGTGCTTCATTGTCAGAGTATTCTGAGCAATCAAACGGCTGATGGATTAGGGGCAGAATATCAGGCAACACATAATATAATGCTCATCTCCTTAGCAACTTTTGTGCCGCCTCATAAACGCCAACGGTAATTTTAATGAAATATTTTATGTTTCACATAAAATACAAGTAAACGTATTCCCATGAATATCAGCCCAGGGATAATTGTTATCTCTCACATTCACTCCTGCCTACGCCACTTGTAATTTCGATGGAAAAAGAAGCTGCAGGTTACATGAATGTGTCCATGCAAGTGATGTAAAAGCATCTTCAGCCTAATATGGGAAAATAAAGACGCTTTTAAAATTTCATCGGTCTAAGTATTGAACACTGTAAAAATAACAGATCATTACAAGTTATATAAATATAAATGCAGAGAAAACAAGTATAAACAGCCCAAATCATTTCAGCTATCAGACAAAAGTAATCAGTAAGTGATGGCAGCTCCTACACTGGAGTACTTAATTGCTCTAATAACAGGTTCTGGTGCAATGAACCAAAATACCAGAAGTTTGAATGAAGTGAACTATAGTGTTGTGTTCAAGGTTGTGACGTTCACATTCAGACAGATCTAATTTTTACATATAAAACCGAATTCTCAATATTACTATTATATTTATTTATTTCGAGCAGGGCGGCCCAGTGGTTACAGTTCCGAGTAACAGGATTGGGGCAGAGAGGCGCGGGTTCAATCCCAGCTCTGTGCGCCAGTTTCTGTCAGAAACGGCAGGGAGGCCGGGTGGTTAAGCAAAGCAAAGTTGAAGCACTGAGTTTCGCGTTCGAGACCGCAACAAGCTGTGAATATTCTGCGAAGTTAAGAGTCGGCGACAGGCCTGCGGCCTAATGAAAACTGAAACCGCTTTATTATTATAATTTTTATTATTATTAATAATTCAGAATCTTGAACGTAGACGCTACAATGTCAATGCTGCGATCTATGCTCAGGATCACTTCGTAGTAACTTGTTTTCACGACTGAAGTAAGTTAATTCCCGCGAAGGCCTACCAAAACACCATCAGGAATTTGCAGCGATCAGAGCCTCTATTAAGGGGAGGCACAGCCTCGATAAAATTCTGGTGGGCAACTGCTTACGCCCGGCAGGAGACCAGAAGCTTGATAAACCACTTCAGGAGATTTCATTTACATGCGATGTTTTATGTTCTCCGATTTAACGAAATTAAATATGAGTAAAATTCCTTTGATGGAGCTGAACAACATAACCCGAGATTGACTGGCGAGCCGATTTTAATTGCTTGCCCAAGATTCACGCTGATATTAATGGCTGGCAAACTGGCTGCATCCAAGCGCATTACTAACAAGAATTCATGCGGGGAATATCATAACAAACGCAGTAGTGCCAATTAAAATATTTAGATTCACCAGAAACCTGGAAGCATCTCATCCTGCTAACAGACCGCGCAATTAAAAAAATTAGGAGCTTGTGTGTCCTCGAGAAGCCGTAGCAGTGGAAAATAAGTTCAGAATTGGGTTAAGCAACTCCTTTACTTCTGAATCATTGCATGGAAAAGACCGATGCTCGTTCGAAAACTTATATTAACGCTGCATATAGCAAAAAAATAATTTATCATTCACGAATTTTCATTCTATTTCTGTTGAATGTTGGAATTGCATAATTAATTTCGTTTTATTTTTCATCAAAATACTCATGTAATGGTTGGCATATAGATCCGAGTATCGATAGATTTCTGGTAAAAATTATTTGGCTGGAAAGGTTAACTTAGCCAAGCGAAGTCAGTCTCCAACATTAAATTACTGAGCCCTGAGTTGCATGTAGGACGACTCTAAACTCTAAAAAAAGGATAAACCACCATCAACTCTGAACTATTGGCTGTTGGTTTACAGATTTTATGAAGCTCAGTTGTCATAACCATGCTAGTATATCAGAAAAAAATGTGGGTCGTTTGAGTCACTCGTGCGTAAAACTTCGAAAAATATGAAAATAACAGTGTGTGTTTTCTCCAATGAAATCAACCGTGAAACTAAATTCAGGAAAATTGTTGACAGGCCGAATCAATGAAGTGAATCGTATCTTGACTCCTTGTCTTATGGCTGCGTTCACTAAAAGCAGTCAAACGAAATGCCGTCAACGCTCAGGAACTTTTCAGCACTTTTCTTATTTTAGTGGAAGTTATGCCTCCAACAAAGCCAAAGTTATTGCCCCAAAGTTACCGCAATTCTAAAGCCGAATCCCTGCAAGCTGTTTTGGAAATGCTCAGGAAATCGTACATTTTCTGGGGCTTCTAACGCTAGTGAGGTGGACTGGCAGAGAATTGACTTGCAGAGAACATTTGCACGGGACTTTGTCATCGGAGGATATAAATAAAGGGGGACCTTGCTGACCAACAACGGAATTGAATTGCTGCCCAAAATTCCTTATGAAATTGTTTGGATGCTCTGTGCGGGTGAAAAATTCTCGAGCGCAGATGGCTAAAGGCAAAATTTCAATTATGATCGCAGCATTCGAATCGGGAAGTGAAGCGTGCACTAATATATTTAGAACCCAGTCAAAATTTTGTATTATACACCGCCGTGTGATGATGAGTTTTGTTTTATTTGATGATGCAGAGACTACGAATGACCAACCCTGTTTGGAACTGATTATCATCAAGAAGAAATTTTCTTCACATGAGAACGTATATATGTTGCGGCGTTTTTTACCATGTGAACCCTATATTAGGATATTTTTTAGGGGTCACATGGATGATTAAAATATTTTTGTTTTCGAATTCACGAAATGAAAGTAATTTTTGTACGTTATGAGACTAACTAATCTCAATACTTCAAAGTCAGTCCAACTAAGTCCACTTCACGCGGAATCTGAACTTTATGGTTGTTAGTCAAATAATGATTGGCACTGAATGTAGGTATGATGGATGAAAAAATGTTCCGTTAGTGAAACAATGACATCAATTCAGATGCATCAACGTGAGTGAGGCTTGAATGCTTACCGATTTTTTTACCAATTACTATTACATTTATTACATCTTGGGCATTATGCCGATTGTGGTGAGATTTTTCCCTTAATTAAGTTGAATTTATTGAGTCAGGATGAAAGCAAATATTTAAATGATCTTAGTCAGTGTGCAGTTGAAAAAGTTCTTACTTTGACTTATTCTTATTCAGCGAAGTTTAATAGTGAGACACGTGTTGAACTTGCCTACAACTCATGTTCAGGACAATTCAGTGGAGTTTTGACCGGCGTCAAACAGCAATTCCACAGTTTGATTCCTCAGTCCTTTTTGTCGTTATTTTAAATTGAAAGTGTCTGAAAATTCTTAAAAATGTTAAACAATATTATAGGAATTACTAATGCATATCTATTATTGAATGTATATCTTACTAGATGGAATTCCAGATAAGTGTTAGAGTGATCACTTTGTGTGATGTCTAGGGCACCACGAAGGAGAGAGATTTAAGAAAATATTGGTAATTTTCAAAAAATTGGTGATTTTTATTGGTAATATGTTTCATCGAATATGAGAAATAAGCAGTTTATTTTAAACAAAACGAAGAAGAACTTTACAATATTTAATGACTTTTAAATCAGACTCCTGAACTGGACTGGAGTTTGCTTCTAATCCTGCCTAGACACATGCATATATTTCTTAGAAAATAATTTCACGCTTCGCATCGGCTCAAATCAAATAATAGTTCAGTAAGCCTAGTGTTATCCGGGCCTCTTGCTCCAAAGCCAGAGCAAAGCTCTGTATTCAGCGAAGTTTAATAGTGAGACACGTGTTGAACTTGCCTACAACTCATGTTCAGGACAATTCAGTGGAGTTTTGACCGGCGTCAAACAGCAATTCCACAGTTTGATTCCTCAGTCCTTTTTGTCGTTATTTTAAATTGAAAGTGTCTGAAAATTCTTAAAAATGTTAAACAATATTATAGGAATTACTAATGCATATCTATTATTGAATGTATATCTTACTAGATGGAATTCCAGATAAGTGTTAGAGTGATCACTTTGTGTGATGTCTAGGGCACCACGAAGGAGAGAGATTTAAGAAAATATTGGTAATTTTCAAAAAATTGGTGATTTTTATTGGTAATATGTTTCATCGAATATGAGAAATAAGCAGTTTATTTTAAACAAAACGAAGAAGAACTTTACAATATTTAATGACTTTTAAATCAGACTCCTGAACTGGTCTGGAGTTTGCTTCTAATCCTGCCTAGACACATGCATATATTTCTTAGAAAATAATTTCACGCTTCGCATCGGCTCAAATCAAATAATAGTTCAGTAAGCCTAGTGTTATCCAGGCCTCTTGCTCCAAAGCCAGAGCAAAGCTCTGAGAGCCTCTTCACTTGCCCTATGTAAAGCAGCCTCCTGCTAGCTCGTCTGGCTATTTGCTTGTGAAACATTTAGGGAAATATGGTTTCAGTTGCCGAGAATATCGTGGAAACAAGAAATTATCACGGTGAAACGTCCTGGAGTATTTTATATTTACAAAACAGATAATTACAATAAGAAGTTTGTTGAACGATAACCTGCTCACAATTTCAGAATCCATGAACAGT